TTTTTTTTTTTTTTTCAGGGGAATTTGTCAGCCTGGAGAATGACGCAAATGAAAACCTCAAGATAAACTTATCATCTATAATTCAACATGCATCTGCTTTGAGTTATGTGGCAAGACCAAGTAAACGGTCCGCCTGTTTTACAAAGTCATATTCGTTGTTCTTAAAAGGATGCGGTTCAGTTTTTGTGACAACTCCAGAACTTCAGGTTCTCCATTGCCACTGAAACACCAATTTGAAATGCTCACACGAATTCGCCACTTTTGATCCATTCATTCAGGTAGAACACCCAAAAGAGGAACTTCTGAAATTATTGGTACTTTTTGTTAGCGACAGTAAGCAGACTTCACTCAGCGAGCCCTTTGGTCTCCGGTTTTTCTCTTGGCGCGAAGTAGCAAACCTACTTGGTTTTCCTTCGGATTTCCATAAACCAGAGAGAATTACAGATAAGCAGATGTATCGCGCACTCGGTAACAGTGTCAGTATTTTCGCTGTGGCGGCGTTACTGAAATATCTTCTAGAATGCAAAGGCCCCTATAGGTGATTCTGGTGGCGACTTTATTTTTGTTTCCAAAATGCTCTTCTGTTTACATGTTTTTCACAGCATAACCATCTGCGGCTTGGGAAGGCAGGAAAATAGAAAAGGGGAGTAGAATTTAATCAAAAGAAAATTGGTTGAGGATCCAGTTTCTTCCTCTTGTGACTCCAGCCGTTTATGACACATTATTGAGACCTGAGCAGGTGTACACAACACTTGTAAGTTAGCAACAGTTCCTGTCACAGACATAGGCAGTTAGACTTGTTTGTCAAATTTGGTTGAATTTAAAAAATTCGGCCGTGGGAGAAAGCAAGTCAGATGTGTGAGAAATGCGAGATAAGTTAGCGAGGCACCCGGGTTCTACTGTGATCTGCAGCCAGGTGAAGCGTTTTTAAGGCACAAAATACGCCTGTTTAATTGCTTCAAAAAAAAAAGCGGAATTATAATTTATGGTTCCCTTTCGTAGCAACCAGTTCTCTGGGACAGTTTTTATTAGATGGTCGCATTGCTGTTTTACTTTTCAGTTGATTAGTGATATTCATTTTCTGTATATCCTGTTCTTATTCCGTTGCCTCACTGGTAAGCGTTCAGGTAGAAGTAAGTGAGAATAGTTTGTTATTGCTGGTTTTATTTTTTAACGTGTTTTTTTGCAAATTATCTTTCTTTTGAGGTGTTATCAGTCTTTAATACTGTAGGTGGAATTCTGCTTCCTAGTAGCAGTTAAATTCTTGATCGTCACGGTGGTAGTACAGTCTGTAGTGATATTCCTCTTCATTATCGAAATCTCCATCTATAGAATCTGCCTGCTTCATAAATGAGGCACGCCGCTGTATTTTTTTTAAAATTTTTTACGATTATTCGACTGAGCTTATCGGAATTCAAGTATTTCTGATGAATTTTTTCTAATTATCTTTTATCTTGCTCTTTTGTGTATATTTTTTAGAGGTGAGGCACGTAGACCTTTTTTGCACATGAACGCGGTTGTAAGAGAGATGCTGCAAGGTTAGAATTATGGGAGGATTTTTTAGCCTTCAAGCGAAGTTGCGGATTTATTGGTTAGTTAGTACCTGAAGCTGTTAGCAACGCCTGTTAAAGTGGATAAATTAATCGTGCAACCTAGACTCCTCTAATGGCGACCCTGCTTGCCATTAGAGAATCCCGGTTGCAGGACCTGTGAGCATTGTTAACAGGGAAGATCAGGAACTAGAAATGGTATTTGAGGGTGTGGGTTGCAAGCTTACAATGTTTTTAGGACCACTGCACAAGGTCTAATTTTTCTTTTGTTGCATCTGTATTTCCCTTGTTACCTGCTTCTGTACCTTTTTTTTGTAATAAATTTAGATCGTTTAAGTATCGGCGACGTTACCGTGATTGAATACTTAAGAATAAGGGGAACGACCGTGTAACGAGCATTTAAAAATGTGGGTAGGAGTTTTGCCTGTATTAAAAGTGATTGGCAACAGTGTCGTCGGTGAAAAGTACTGGCAAGCAAAGGTTATAAATCACTCGTTTTTGCAGATTCATACTTTTATTAGTTGTTTTCTAATTTTTTTTTTAACGCAAAATAGAACGGCGGCGTGTAATTTGTGGTTGTAGCATGGACGTGTCATAGTTCTTAGACTGCAGATATCTACAGGTTGAGAGGGCTGCCAGTTTTTGTGTAGAAAATGAGGAGGAGTAAATTGTAGATGTAAATTGGTTTGTGGAATCTCTGTGTTTTGTATTTTTTCCGGAGGAATATACTGTAATCGCTAAGGAAGGCAGGTTTTCTACAGATGTATTCCGTTGTGCATTTGTTGTTGCAGTGTCACTTTCGTCCCAAAAGGTTTCCAATGCTTGAAGCGCCAGAGTTGTTCTGCAAAGCGGTGTTACAGTGTGTTTCGGCTGTGCAGTGGCGATAGTAGAAGTTTAGACGATTGGTCAACTGTCGGAAACCATTCACCAAAATATTTATATTTGTTTAGTTTTAAACGAGAAATGACGCTCCGACACTGTCAATTGACTATTTTGTTACGAAGCGCGGTATTTGGCAAATGAAATTGTCATTTTGAAATCTGGGACTCTCTTCATTTATTCACTTAATTCTGGGACTTGTTGAAGCTTTACATCAGTTCGGTTGGTCTTTCAGAATTTTTCATTCAAATGTCTGAATATCACAGGAAAGAAGGCGTTTGTTTTCTCCTCAGTTGAGAAATTGAGATGGTGTAATAGAGGCACAGTTTCAGGCGTTTTGCCTAGTTGATTTTACAAAATCATCGAGTTGCCCTTGCGCCAGTCAAATAAATGCTTCTGAGTCCGTCGTTTGCTTGGATATTCTCTTTCCTATTCTCATTTCTTCAAATCTGCAAGACGTGGGATTGAGAAATTGATTTTTCAGCGAAATTTTATGTTAAAGTACTAAATGATTGTTGAATAAAAATGAAATTATTAGGAAAAAATGGTGATGAGTGCAAATTTGATAATTTATTGAGGCATCTTTTCAGGGTATTTAGAGCAGAAGCTGATATCAGAAATGATACTTGTTCGTATGGTACTTCTAGAAGTTTTGTTAGGATTTCTCGTTGTATTTTTTCGATACTACGTATATCTTCTAAGTTTAGGAGTTGATTTGGTTGTTCCTTTAGTTCCTGTAACCCAAAAATGTTCACTCCTTGTAAGCTATTCTTTGCAAAACGAACGGTTAGTGAACGGTTGTTAGGAAAGTAGGTGTTGGCTTTACTTTGTCTGCAGTTACAGTCAACGTTCAACTCAATACCAACTGTTACTGAGTGAATTTCTTCAAAAAGTTTACTGCCAACAGGCGGCTTTGTATTTATAATAGGCACGGAACTTGGAGTTTTTGAAAATTTACAGAACAATGATTTGATAACTCATAAATGTTAACCGCACGGCTCTTACTGACCAATATTATTTATCTTTCTTCTTTGAGGAGTAACAAAGTCCATTCAGAATTTAAAGGCGGTGAGAGCACTCACAAAAAATCTTAGGAAAAGAGATTTCTTTCTACTCAGCAGCACCAGAAGTTATTGTCGCATTAATATTTCTTACTGGACAAAGTAAAATTTAGAATACAGCCGAAGTTCTGATTTGTAAGTAATTTTCAAAAATTTTTTATCAGTAACAGAGTCTGGCATCCCATCTGAATTTTTTTTTTTGCATTTATTATATTTTCTCTTCGCGTAATAATTTTTTGATCCACTTCTATTGAAATTAGGTGGTTTCAGGACTGTCTTGGTGATTTTTTCTTATCTTCTAAGCACTTAAAGTTACACTAAGAATTGATTCTTGCATTTTTGCAAAATCTACCCACCGCTGACGAGTGGTATAATGCGCAGCAGATCAATTTTGTGGCAACAGTTACTAAAAATTTGAAAGGCTTAATCTTTCTTCGTATGAACATATTTCCACTAATGGTTTAGTTCATTCTAACAGTTATATGGATTTTAAAGTATCTACATAACTACACGTTTAAACTGCAGCTATAGAACTCATTCATTTTATGTATTAGGTAGAGAGACGGATTATTAGAAAAAAATTTTTGAAAGCAAAATGAGCTTAGCGGATCACTGTGGCAACAGGAGAGCGAAAAATTAATTGTAGCAAATTACGTTCGACGCTGTAAACTTGCAAAAGAGAGCTGACGTCTGTTACCACAGGGTTCATCAACCATTCAATGATGAGGAACTTTTTTAAGGGGTAATTTATCACCAACCTATTGGAAAGTGGAAAAGAAGTATCTAGACATGTCTGAAAGCGTAAAGAACGAGTAGATCGAGACTGAAAACCGTAACATAGGAAGAGAAAAAAATCAAAACACAAAAAAAATGAATATTTTAAGATGGGAACGTTCAAACGTTTAAAATGACAATGGTTTCACAGCAACAGAGGCGTTTGGCTAAACACTTAATTTTTTCTAAAAAAGATTGTGGGATTCTGTACTTTCTTCGCGCTATCTTTTGAACAGAGGACCGTTCTAGATATGTACTTGAGGATCCTTGGAAGGCGGTGCTAGTTTTGAATGACTGAAATACTATAGATTTATATTTTGTTTTATTTTTGGTTCAGAAGATGAAATCCCATCATCTACACCTTCTGAGGGCCAGCATTGGAACTAAGTGAGAATTATAAAAAAAGTCAATTTTTTTTTTAATTTCTGCTGGAAGCTAAAAAAAATAGGAGAGCCCCTCCCTCCTTGGCTTTGGAATCGATACAGTTATAAGCAATGCTCGCATTCATTTTGCTCATCAGTGGCGTACCCTTTTCTGTTTGCTGGTCATTCCAATCCTAATGACCAGTAACACCAAAAGAGCAGCGCCTGCAAGGAATCTTCAGAGTTAAGAGGTCTCTCTGTGCAAACGAGTCATATACTTTTGAATCCTTTTCTACTTTGTCTGTTCGCTGCAACTTACTATGCTCTTGAACACTATTGTTGTTTTTACTTATCTTTCTTTTTTGGTGTTGAAGTGAACTGTGCTGTCAAGTATCTGCTTTCGATTTTCATAATAAACCTGCAGAAATTTAAGCAGGACATAGGATAGCTTTGGAAAACGACTTCTACTTTATTCCAAAAATGTATCTATGTTTCTCTCAACCGTAAAAACGACTATAAACTTGCTTATTAAATTGGTAGTGCGAAATTTTTTCTATCTCATGTAAGCGTTATTTTTGTAATGCTTCTTCACAGCAACCTATTAAACGTATGCCACAATTTTTTTTCTGCCGGTGAACCAAAATAACTTGTGGCTTAACGGTTTTGGTAAAAGCTGTTTTAAAGCAATTTTTTTAAGTCGGCTTTTCAGGAAACTCACAGTGGCTTGTTGAGCAATTTCTTCATAAAAGTTACAGAGAGCATTAACTTGCTTAAAAGTATCATACCTCAAGTACCTTCACAGCCAGTTCATGGTTTTTCTCCGAATAACTTTTTATGACATTTATTACTTCGTATTGCTTCTTCACTAGCTGACTTAGTTTTCGATTCTCATTCTCCTTCGTCACTAATTCTTTTTGCGTTTTTTGTAACTCTTCCATAGTCTGTAAAAAATTGGGTAAAATATTCAAGTTTGTGGAGAGACTGCTGCACAGTTCGAACCATAGATATCTTTAGAGAAACCGATAGTGAGTCTGAGGGACACACTTAGACAGTAAAAAGTCTAAGTTTGAATTAGGTCTAGAAATTGTGATATTACTTATTAAAATAGTTCAGTCAGAGTAGAAGAAGCATTGTTACCTTTTGTCATCTTTTTATTCTGATTTTTAAAATTGGGATAAACAGAATAAGTAAGAGGGAAGAGAGGAAGTAAGACATGAACAACCGTTATAAAAGATTTATTTGAGAAGCAATTCACCTTTTCACAGCAACGATTTTTTTGCTTACTGGTTGTGCCAACATCTGAAGTCACCGCACTTTGTAATAAAAACTTAAAGTTTCGTTCAATCTGGTATCTTTCTATCGCATTCATCATTTTTTTCTTCGGTCCAAAAGCCTTCAAAAATTACAATGAAAAATTTGGTGTTTTTATTTGTCAAAGTTGAATTTTTTTTGATGGTAGATTTTACCGATTAGTTTTATCTGTGACAACAGAAGTTTCTGTAGAGGAAGTTATTAAGCAATATTGCAAAACTTTTGTTGTTGATATCAGTGAGCCTATTATGCTTTTAAAAATTTCTTTGTGATCAATTTTGTTACCTTGACACCAATTTCATTGAGTTCTTTTTCCGTGAGTTTAAGGAAACCTTCCAAGTCAATTCCATTTTCTTTAAACAAAGTGTAGTATTTGTTTTCTAGGTTTAAGTGCTGAAACAGCACAGATAGGGAGCGAATATCTGCCTCTGTTGTATTGATGTTTGTCTTCTTTGGCTGCAACGAAGTCTGTTAGGCAACTGAAAATCGGTTATTTTTATGGTTAAGACAAATTATCGGATGATACATGTAAGTGACTGGATAAGATACGTTCTTTTAGTTACTTATATACTTAAATGATCTATCACGCTTTTTGCAGTAACTTCTCAAAGCCTCTTACAGTACCGTAGTGAAAATTAAATTAAAAGGTTTCTAAGTTATCTGACTGTCGTTTTTCCGATGAAAAAAAAAAATACACACGAAAACATTTTACTGGAAGAGAAGATCCAAATTATTGCAGATTTTTATTTTTGTAGTTGCAGTAATTGTTGATTTAGTTTCTTCTGTTAGTTTGAAGTAACAGTTAGTGTAAAGTTTATGCTTCTGTATTTACCTGAGGAGGATTTTTTATAATTGCCAAAATTTTAGGGTCATTAACAAGGGTTTTACCATCTTCACCATTATCGTTTCTTATATGAATGTCGCCTCCCTAAATTTAAGCAAGCAGTGATGAGGATAATTTTGGAACTGACACATTTTTTTTTACTGAGATTTATAGTTATTTTAACTATAACATTATGACTGAAGGTAAATGGATGGTAAAAGTAGTGCTTACATGTTGTAATATGGTAAATAGAGTGCCTTCATGTCCCGTAGTACAAGCTATCAGTGTTGGTGTCATACCTAACTTATTTTTAATATTTGGGTCCGCTCCTCTTTCAAGCAAAAACTCTACTACTTGATTGTGGGAGCATAACGATGCGAGCGATAAGGCAGTGTTTCCGCTTAGATCCTGTTTGTCTAGGCTTGCTCCTTTATTGGCAAGTAGCTGCACCTGAAACTATTTTTGGCTGACTTTTCTTTAAGCTTTTTTATACAATTGTTGATAACAGATTCAACAAGTCTATATGATTTTTTTGTTCTGTATAGGATGAAAACATCTGGACTGGTCTAGTAATTTTACACTACGTATGTCACAGAGTAGTTTTTTGCGAAATGGATTTTGCTTTTGATGCTTATGTGATTTTGAACTCTTTCAGTACATGTGAATTTTTCTTATAAACTGCTTTTTAGGTAATTTTTTATAAAAGCATATTACTTCAAGCCACTTAAGTAGCGAAAGAATGAGAAAAAATTAACAATTTGTAAGTTGCCGCATGCAGCGGCCATCATTAGCGCTGTTTGTCCGTCGAAGTTAGTTATATCAATTGAAGTGTTGTGGTCGAGAAGTAGAGAGCACACTGCACCGTGGCCAAGGTAGGCAGCATACATTAAAGGGCTCCATCCTGAGGAATTTAAACGGTCTGGGTAGAAGCCATTATTCAATTGTTCCTGAACAACAGGTTCTAGAATGACTTAGAGGAGGGGTAACAAAAAAATTTTAGGATAAATTTTCTCTGCTGTTAATATTATCTTTTCGGCAAAAAAGCCCTACTAGCATTGTGAGAATGGCTGTCATATAAATTATTTTGTCTCTAACGAACATAGATTTTCTTAGCACTACCATACCACATAGTTATTGAGATCGTCATTTTTTATGTTTTTAAAGGCTTTGGAATAATGAGTATTTGTATTACTCCTGAAAGTTGACACAGGAGTTATCCGAAAGATTAATGAAGAAAAAGCTTCAGGAATGAGGCATAAAACTTCTGAAGTTTTTCATTATGCAAAGTAAATACAAATAATTATTAACAATATCTATGATATAACATTGCACTTAGTTTGGTGTATATCAAAAATTACAGAAAGTTTTGGAATTGATACTGTCACATTTGTTTTCATAATTTTTGTACTAAGTTTCAGTGTACTGCAGAATTTGAAAGTGGTACTTGCGTCCATCTTTTTATTTTTCAGTTTACAGTTTACCTCTTAAAAATACACTAAAGCAGTAAAAGATTTTCTAGAACTATCACAATTCTCTAACAACATATATGTTACGCATTTCGGTCAACTG